CCCCGGCGATAAGAGTTTTTTTGGAACTCGAGGCCCAAACGAGCTTGGTTAAGGCAGTCGCAATGGCTTGGGAATGTCTATTCACATATGCAACCTTAAAGCGGCCTATGAGGTCGGATTTTATAGTTTGCACTAGTTCAAACTTCATAACGGCTTGTTGAAAATGAAAACGACTGTACAATAGACTGATAGTTAGGCTAGTAGAGGGTATGTAAACACTAAATTTTGTTCGAATTGTTACACTCTAACGGTAACCGAGGTATCGACAAACCGTGGAATGATTAATCTTCACTTTAAGGAGGAAGACGGTGGAGAGTAGGCACTTTTGCGGACTGCGTGACCTGCATCGAAAATAATTAACGAAAATATGCGTGATAGCGTTAGCTAGGAACCTCCTTAATTAGATGCTAACTAAGTGGTTATGACAGGTATCTGCTCACAGGGTATTTTTTGGTAAGAAGTGTTTTTTCGTTGTCCTCGTCGCTGAGTCTTCTATCTGCAGCGAAATCCCGTGTACATACAAATGTGCTTTGCAACCGCCTCGCATTTCCTTCTACACAGTCTCCGTCGTAGGCACTTTCGGCTCTGAAACGGATATCTCAGCAGTCAAGTGATGAAAAACTGGATTACTGTTTCTAACTTACATATGTCCCGTGCCCTGACATAGGGGCGTGAGCACCTAAATAACGTCTCGTGGACACCACAAATCTAAGATGAAGCCCATTGGGGGGGAGGGAGCCATTGTTTTTTTCCTGTACGATTCATTTCAGAATTTACCAAAATATCGCCGATATTATTTCCTCCGAAGGGTTTTCAGCGTTCAGTATACGTGATTCTGTATTTTAAACCTCTGGTGAAATGACCGTACACAAGGGCAGTTGTGTGAAGAAAACGCACATTTTCGCTGGAAAAGTATCTGAACGCTATGGATTTTCGAGCGAATTATACTCGTAGACACAATAAGCTACACTTACTTCTAAGTTCAGATGAATACAGTAGTCGCCGGTTATTAAGCCCACGGTTAATAGGCCCAGACGCTTATTAAGCCCAATTTGGTCTGAGCCCGAGGTGGGCTTAATAACCGGCGACTACTGTATTTTAAATGTTAGTGTCTACGAGAAAATCGTCTTTTGAGCCCTAAGCACTGTCCATACGATTATATCTGCCATTATATAATCATTGCAAAATCATCTAAAACGGTTTGAAAAGCACTTCAACAGCGGTGGCTTCAGAACTTTTACTTGA